AGAGCAGATAAAATTACTGTAACCTTACAGGTTTCTATTTCACAGCACATTAGATCCCAGCAAACAAGACATGAGGATAAACATGATCACAATGCTTTAAAATGAGCACATTTCATCATTATATCACATATGAATCAATGAAAGACTAACAGATCAACTGATACTTTCATTTTCTCAGAGCCACTGAAGTTCAAGAGGGACAGTTACAACAGACTTCTGTTCATAAAAGCACAATTACAACAGAATATGCCATTACAATCTCATAGAGGTACAGTAGCATCACACAGGACGTGATTATTATTCTGTATTTGAAGTGCAGATGTTGTTGTGTCTGTCACCTTAACCCCGTGTATGACCGTGACATTGTCCTGTTCATCCAGTCCGTACGACACAGATCTGCTCCTGCTGTCCGCGGCTCCCATCAGCCCCAAAATCACCACAAACAGCCCAACTAGAGAAATAAAATCACCCCGAATGACTTCAGGGTCACTGTGTCCCGCTACGTGCGCATAAAATCATCAAACGTCCTATTACGGGTTATCACGTGACACGCGAAATGCACGATGGGAAATGTAGTTCTACTCAACACACTGACGTCACATGGAGGTCGCGGGAGAAAAAAAAGAGGAAAATATTTATTTTTTCTGTTTTAATTGTTTGCTTGCTTAATTTGTGTTCTTATATTGAAAGCAAGACTTTTTTTGTAGTGAGATATAATAAATATTAATTGACAAATGCACTTTATGTTACCATTTTATTATTTTTAAGGTAAATTTTAAAGGTAGTTTTTTTAATTATTATATTTGAATGCAATGGTCGGCAAATAGTAATACTAACATTTCATTTATTTTCTCATATTGCTGAAGATTTAATTCATTCACATGTGTGACTGTATGGCTAGCAGCTTTAAAGTCAACATGAAACAAAATAACTTGGAACAACTTCAACAATCTGATGCAGTGTTGTCAAATAAAACTATTAAAAATTGTTTTTGGTAACTGAAATCAAATCAAATATAATTATTAAAAACCTAAACTTAAAAACAAAAACTTAAACTCGTTGCAACACATCTAATTTTCATTTAAGTTGAAGAACTAAAATTACCAAAACTGAAATAAACATGTATTAAATCTATAAATATATATTTTTAAAAAAGCACATACTAAAGCTAGTATTGAAATGAAAATGTAAAAATAAAAGCTAAAATATCAATAAATACTATAATAGTAACAATAATAGTAATAGTAGTATAAAAATACTGAAAATCTTACATCATCAATCCCTCTTATTTTAATCAGCAGTCATTATAGAAACACTTTCTCACCATCCAATCTGTTATATAACCAAGTCCCAATGGCATTTCTGTTGTTGAATATTGTTTTTCACTCTAGTAGTTTTTTTATTATTATATTTGAATGAAATGGACGGCAAATAGTAATACCAATATTACATTTATTTTGCCTTTTCTTTTTCTCTCATTGTTTTTTTCTCATGTAAAAAAATCTTATTTTATCTATTCAGATTTTCTGTTTTTATTTCTTACAGTAAATTTTAGTGACATTTATGTCCTTCACAGCAAAAAGAACGATGACGTTCAATGGGGAAAAAAAGTGAGTCACATGACACGTCACGTGATGACAGTGTGTGAAGCATGTTTGATATAAAACATAAATGAACGCACGAGCCACAGAAGTATGTTCCAAAATAAAACTCCTCGGTTGTCCGTGTGGCTCAAAATAAAGCCTCTTTGCTGGACTTAGATTCAGTGTTCATCTGACTAAAATGGTGTCTTATTTTCTGCTTTATAACATTTAATCTATAGACATAACAGAATAAATACCCTGATCTTTAACAAAGCATTTCAGTGAAGAAAAAAACTAAACTAAATATCTTTGAGATATGCTTCCAATAACAGGCTGCAATATAAAAAACAAACAAATAAATAGGCAGAGCAAAGCATTGAGTATAAAAGCATCGAGTACAATTTGCACTGAATTTCAGATTATATTACTCATAAACTCATTTACAGTTGCATTTCAGTGCAAAAAATTAAAACTTCAACACTATATTGCCTTAAAATCCACTGTGTGCAAATAAAAAAATAATTAAAAAAAACATAGCAGAGCATCCACACATCTCTAAATACATACAGTTTAATCATAAAACATCTTCTCTCCATGTTCTAATCATATTTAAAGAAAAAAAGAGAAATAAGCAATAAGAAACAAGCATTTTACTCAGTTGCATTTCAGTGCAAAAAATTAAAACTTCGACACTATATTGCCTTAAAATCCACTGTGTGCAAATAAAAAAATAATAAAAAAAAACATAGCAGAGCATCCACACATCTCTAAATACATACAGTTTAATCATAAAACATCTTCTCTCCATGTTCTAATCATATTTAAAGAAAAAAAGAGAAATAAGCAATAAGAAACAAGCATTTTACTCAGGCCAGATTTAATTGAAGATTGTTTTTCTGTGCACCAAATAAAGTTAGGTTGTGATTAAGTAGTGGTATTTCAACAAAAGTAGAAAGATGAACAAAGGTCAAGATCACGATTTAAGCTTTCACTTTAAGAACTGAACCCAAGTCTAATGACGACAGGCTAAAACCAAATTCATCAGATAACTAAAATAAATAAAAATGCTTTCAAAACTATGATATAGCACGGAGAAATAAATGTTTTGACAAATTTCGAGATGAACGCTCAGCCCATATGAAGCATATGAACAGAGCCAAGGTAGATCACAGGGTCCTTAAGACTTCAAATTAGCAAGCGAATGAGCCAAATCAGTGCAAAACAACTCTAATGGCAGAAAACGAGCATCAAAACACGAGCAGATATTTTGCTGGTATCAGTAGCATAACATCGTGAAACCATCTAATGGCGATCGAGAAATATATTACATTATGCACGTCACAAAGTCCATTAAAGTTGCCTGCGGTACAGATCCGAGCACACGCATGTCAAATTAAGAGCACTGGTGTTACACAAGGAATGTTGAATTCATGGAATACAAATGAAATCGATCTTAAATAACAGCACTGACTGGGAAAAGCGTTTCCGGATCAAGGCAGTCCATGAGAAACTGAAGTCAGCTGTTGGTCAGTGTTAAAGCGTGTTCAGGCGTTGAGGGCCCTCCAGCGGTCGCTGTCGATGCTGTGTCCTCCGCTGAAGGGCCCCGACACCACGTCATCCAGATACGCTCCGGAGCCGTCGATCTGCGTGCTGGAGTACGAGCCGTGATCCAGATTAGATTGATCAAAAGTGTAAGTACAAAAGATTTCTATTTCAAATAAATGCTGTTTTTAAGCTTTCTGTTCATCTGTGAATCGTGAAAAAAGAAAAAAAAAAAAAATCACGGTTTCCACAAAAATATTGAACGGTTTTCAACATTGATAAAAATCAGAAATGTTTCTTGAGCAGCTAAACAGCATCTTAGAATGATTTCTGAAGGTCATGTGACTCTTACGGAAGCCCTTTTCCACCATATTCAAAAAACTGTATGTATTGTAATTATGAGTGAAAATTATTAGAAAAAGTCATAATTATGACATCAACAAAATGCTAAAAAAAATTACTTTTAGGTCATAATCATGACTCATAACTATGACTTAGTCTCTCAGAAGTTCAATTTTTTTTTTGTCATAATCAGGACTTGTGTCATAATTATGATTTATCAAAGCATGTTTTTTATGTGGCAGAAATAGGTTTCCCTAATTACAATTCCAAAATATATGAGATATAAGATAAATAAGGACAATTATGAGATAAGCCAAACTCATGACATAAAAAGTCTACACTTACAAGTCTACACTCAAGTCATAATTATGACAAAAACAATTGTGACTGTTTAGACTTTTCATGTCAATTTTCACTTGTCATGACTTTTTACCTCAATACTGGCGTTTATGTCAAAATTGCTGCTTTTTATCTGATAATTATGACTTATCTCATAATTGCAACTTTTTATGTCATAATTATCATTTGTTGTTTTTTTTTCTTATGTGGTGGAAATGGGTTTCCATAGACACTGAAGACTGGAGTAATGATGCTAAAACATTCCGCTTTGCATCGCAGGAATAAATGTTTTACAATATATTCACATCTAAAGCAGTCATACAAATTGTAACAATATTTCACAACATTACTATTTTTGATCACATAAATGCAGCCTTGGTTTTTTTTCAAAAACATTAAAAACTCTTAATGGCCGCAAACGTTTTGAATGGTAGTACATAATGGTAATCTTTTTTACTGAGGAGATGTTATGTATGTTAACTATGAATTATTGATATACAAAAACCAGATAGTATCAGTGGCATCCAGCAAAAGTGTATCAATTTGATATATCATTTTGTATAAATGTCAAAAACCACAATGAGTGTCGGGCAATATCTGTAACCATGTTTTTAAAAACACTACAATAAAAAAGGATTTTATTTTTATTTATAAAAGTCTGGAACAGGGAAATTACCACGCTTATCCTCTCATGGTATCAGAAGTGCTCCGACTTTGCCACATTTTTGGATCGTTTCTGTAAAATTCTGTTTAAAACTATCCAAACAGAAAGGACTTCCACAGACGTCCAATAGAACGAGTAAAAGCTTGTAGAATAATATGATGGTTGGCCACATTTGCTAAGAGCAGTAATGTCTTTAAGGTGGTGTTTAGTGCAGGACAACAGCATTTCTCTTGCTCTTTTGAAATAAAGAGTTTGACATGGCATATAGAAACACTCACAACTCAAAACTTCCCCATGAGGTAACGCACGACTGCTTTTGGAGCCTGAATTAAAAATAAATCCTACAAAAGTGCCGAATATGGCATTTTGCGGAAGTTGAAACCCACAGCAGCCTATATTCATCTGCTCCGTGAACACAGTTCCTCATGCACAACTAAAGCATGATAATATGTCTCTGTCTAGAGGCTGCATCGACTGAGACGTCTGTAATATCCTGTGACTGAATCACAGGTGGATCTACTTACCCGAAGAATCCTTTGAGGAACGTCACATAGATCAGAGGAGCAAAGACGGAAAAGTACAGGAATGTGGTCACATCCACACAGCTGCAAACACACAGAGAGGAACAGATACACAGAAAACTCAGTTTGAAACCATTCTGGTAATCTGGCATCCACTTAAATGTAGAGATAATTCATTTGTAGAATTTTGAAAAAGGCCAAATAAATAAATATGATGATATAAAATGAATGAGAAATATTTAAGGTTTTTATTATTGTAGCATTCTCAAATCATGAGACAAACATTCTCAAATTCATTTCACAAACTTTTCCCTCACATTTTATGCAAATAAGACAATGCATATTATATGTATTATAAAAATATATTAAAAACAATTAAATTAGATGAATTAGAGAATCCAATTTTTGGGGTCTTTATCTACATGCACCTTTTAGTCTAAAGAGCAGGACGTATTGCCAAATATTTGCTATAACAGATATAAAGATAGCAGATGAAATTTATACAAACTTTTTAAAATCTAATTAGTTTACAAAATATATTTGAAAACTATTACAAATTGCATTATCTAACACTAGCATTTCTGTTAAGTGGCTAACTGCACTGCTCCAACAGTATACCCTAGTAAAAAATAAATAAAAAAAACCTATGCCATAATTTATTTAAAATACATGTTTCCATACTAAGTATACGTCAAATCTACTAACATATCTATTGACATATCAATTCAAACTTACTGATATAAAATTATAATTAAACTTTATTTGGAGTATTTCTTTATCATCATCATCATCTGAATGCTTCCTACACGATGAACACTGCATTTACTCACATGGTAACGAGATCCGCTCTCTGACTGGAGTTTTAGGTAGGATGACTATCAGGGAATACACCTAAAACAGATTATATCGCAGAATAAAACATTAATAATTCAATATATATAAACACAATATGGTTTCATAAGAAAGGAGAAGTAACTGATTAGATACCAGGAAAAAGAAACAGGAACTGGCCAACCAGAAGTGGCGCCCGCCGTGGCCGTAGATGTTGAAGTCTTTGGCGGAGAGATGTTTGTCCGGGAAACGAATCTCCAGAGTCCCCTGAGAGAGCAAGAGATGCTGCATTACAGCAATAACTCACTAGAAGTGAATGTATCACAGCTAAGTGTGTCTTTACACACAGCGGCACTTAAAACTCATTATTTATCCGTTTGAATTAATCAGATCATTAACATCCAACTCAACAGATGTTTTTCAAGGACATATATTCAGCAGTTTTTGTATAAATGTGACCCTGGAGCACAAAACCAGTCATAAGGGTCAATTTTGTGAAATTGAGATGTATACATCATCTGAAAGCTGGATAAATAAGCTTTCCATTGATGTATGGTTTGTTAGGATAGAACAATATTTGGCTGAGATACAACTATTTGAAAATCTGGAATCTGAGGGTGCAAAAAAATCTAAATATTGAGAAAATCATCTTTAAAGTTGTCCAAATGAAGTTCTTAGCAATGCATATTACTAATCAAAAATTAAGTTTTGATATATTTACGGTAAGAAATTCACAAAATATCTTTACTTAATATCCTAATGATTTTTGGCATAAAAAAAAATAGATAATTTTGACCCATACAATGTATTGTAGGCTATTGCTACAAATATACCCCAGCGACTTAAGACTGCTTTTGTGCTCCAGGGTCACAAAAGTGTAATGAATGGCTGTTGCGTAACACACCTGTGTGATGGAGTAGGCCAGAGACAGGACCGCAGTGATGGCCAACACACGCTTGATGCTGGACTTGCTCTCCAGATGGCCTGAGCAAACACAATCAGCAAACACCACACATTAACAGAAAGAGCTACACACTAAAAGACCCTTTGTTTTCAAGGGCTCTCACTGCACAGCAAGTTACAACACAACAGGTACCTTTAGAAAACATGGAAATCACTGTCACTAGTGTTGCTTTTGTTAACTAAAACTGCAAAATAATAATAATAATAATATTTTAGGGACCAATTATCACTATTCCTAAACAATAGCATTACTTAAAAAAACATAAAAAATCATTTTCTATAATTGAAATACAGCTGGAATAAAATTAAAATATAAAATATTAGACCCAAAACAACAACAACAATGTGAAAACCTAAAAATGATAATTAAAAATGTTGAATGCTGGCTTGGCAACTCACTCAAATTAATAAGTTTAAGTGCTAAAATTACTAAAACTGAAATAAAGCTAAATAGAAAACTTAATGTACTTATTTAATTAGTGAAACTTAAAATTAAAATGACAACAAAAATATAAAAATAAAAGCAAAAAAAAAAAAAAAAAAAAAGAGTTAATACTGTGATAGATTAATAATACTAACATTACATTTTCACCCATTTGAAAAATGTGATTTTTATAAGAAACTGAATCACATTTGAGATCCGAAACAAACACAATGCAGGAACGTACCGAAAGCCAGTCCCAGTATGATGACGCTGAGCTCAATAGCCAATAAAAAGAACCTCGTGATTTCCCAAAGCACCTGTAAACACACAGAAATCACTGATGAATTCACAACATAATCACAGCACTGCGTTCATCACAGCGTCAGCAAACCTAATACATCTGACGTCAGAACAGACTACGCTTGCTTTCTGAATTCATCTTCCTGCTCTGATTATGAATGATTCATCAGTCACGTTATTGTAATTAAATAAATGTTTGTTTTACAATCCATCAACATAATATAAGAAGTTGCTCCACCTCAACTTGTCACTGACTACCCTGTTTCAATAAAAAGACTACCGTTTAAAACTTTGACGTTGGTCAGATTTGTAAATGTTTTTGAAAGAAGTCTCTTCTGCTCAACAAAGCTGCCTTTATTTGATCAAAACAGTAAAACCAGTAAAATTATGAAATATTATTAAAATTTAAAATAGCTTAGTTTAATAGTTTTCTACTTGAATATATTGTAAATTATAATTTATTTCTGTGATTTTCAGCATCATTCCTCCAGTCTTCAGTGTCACATGATCTTCAGAAATCATTCTAATATGCTGATTTGCTGCTCAAGAAACATTTCTGATTATTAGCATATGTTGAAAACAGTTCACTGCTTCAGATTTTTGTGGAAACCTTGACACATTTTATATTTCAGGATTATGTGATGAATAGAAAAATCAAAAGAACAGCATTTATTTGAAAGAGAAATCTTTTGTAACATTAGAAATGTCTTTACTTTTGATCAGTTTAATGCACAAAAGTTCTCACGGTATAAACATTTTCTGACTGGAAACCTTTGAACTGTAGTATGTCAAATACAATAAATAACTTGATACTAAGTCGAATGGAATATAATGAAAAATCACAATATCAAAACGGGAATGAGTCATGCTTTGCATGTTTTAAATGTTTTTAAACATTAATTTGTTTTCAGAGCAAGAGAAAGCAAAATGTAGAACAATGACTACAGAAGCTTTTGGTGGTGTCATAAAACGTTTAAAACGCAAAAAGTTGTGCTTTCAGATGCAGATTTGGTAGATATTACCATAATTAATTCAAGATTGACAGAAGTTAGCGTGAAGTCCTCATGTGTGTGTTTTCACCTTGTCTATGAGTGTGGCGGCGCTGGATGTGCTGACGGTCATGGAGACGATGGCACGTGTGATTCCTACAGCCGCCACCACGAACACCTGAGTGGCACGAGAGAAAGAGTCCGTCAGAGCAAACCTGAGCAGAAAACACTAACTCCACTGCATGCAAACCTTCAGCTCACGCGGGACGCTCTGCTGCTTACCAGTATGTAAAACGCCACGAATATGGGGCTGGAGGTCAGACGGATCTTAGCGCGAGCAGAAGGAAGCTTCCACATCAGGAAGACCAGGAAAGCCACGTTTGGGACGAGCAGCATCAAGTCCCAGTAACGAACCCTGACGGAGAAACAGAGACGGAGAGTTACGAATCAGACCAAAACAGAGGCTTTAGTGCTGTGACACGGTGCTCATTAAACATGTTTAGATTAAACAGCACAGAAACCAGCCGTTTATTACTACAATACTAGACCACACACACAGACACACACACACAGACACACACACACACACACACAAACACACACACACACACACACACTCTCTCTCTCTCCCTCTCACACACACACACAAACAGACGCTCGTCTAAAACTGGAATTTCAACTTTTCATGCTGTGATGGAAAGCACCTATTTATCCACACAAACACCTCCTGGGAACCAAAACAAAAAGTTTAAGCTGAAGTCTTAAAACTGAAATTAAAAAATAAAATTGCAAAAAAAAATGAGGTTTGAGGCTAATTTTCCTCTTCAACAAGTTCTCTTCATAAAAACGAAAAGATATAAATGAGACCCTGGACCACAAAACCAGCCATAAGGGTCAATTTTTTAAGTTTAGGGAATTATTTGATTATATAATGTTTGCGGCTGGTTTAATATATAATTCTGTATATTAACCTGTTGTGAGATAACATACATTACCAATCAAAAGTTTGGGGTCAGTAACCTTTTTTTTTTTTTTTAAAGAAATTAAAAATGTAATTTTTATTCAGCAAGGACACTATACATTGTAAAAAATGTAAAGACATTTATAATGGAACAAAAGATTTATATGTGACACTGAAGACTGGAGGAATGATGCTGAAGATTCAGCTTTGATCACAGCAATAAATTACATTTGAACAGATATTCACACAGAAAACAGTTATTTGAAATTATAACAATATTTCACAATATTCATGTTTTTACTTTTTTAATCAAATAAATGCAGCCTTGGCGAGCAGAAGAGACTTCTTTTAAAAACATCTCACTGACACTAAACTCTTGAATGGTAATTTAATACAAAAAAATTACTGTAATAATGAGAAAATTATTTTGTCAAAGTTTCATAAGAAATACTGATCATTTTTGGTGAAGTTTGAAAATGTTTTCCTCAGAAGTTTACTTACAACATACAATAGATAACCCAAAACAATAGACCTACGGTTTTTCTTTCTACATAATTTGCTGATTTATGATTTTAAAGACGAGGAGAGGAAGTTGTCATGAAAAGCACCAAACATCTGCTGTCTCTGAAGATATTCTGAGCTCAGAGTCGTTCACCAACACAAACCCAACTGTCCCAGGAGAACCAGATGTGATTTTTTATAAAATTACAGAGGACAGTCCCGTTTGATAGAGTCACTACAAGCACAGAAACGAAAGCAGAACTGAAAGCTCATGTTGTAAAAATCCTCCAGCACTCAAATCACATTTCACGCGCCTCAAGCGTCTTCTGTTAGATCCAACACAAGATCATCTGTATCTGAGGAATACTCTTCAGTATATGAGCTCAAAAACTACACGCATTCAGGCGTTCAAACATGGCAGAGAGCCCAGATGAAAACTGCAGTCAGTTTCAGCACACGGAAATGCAAAATAAAACTACATGAATAAATACATACAAATAAATAAAAACATGAAATCACAAATCCTTGACCTGTCACTTAGTTAAACTGAAAAAAGAAAAAAAAAACTACTTGCAAATTTACAGCAACTAGACATGCACATACCATATAATAGCAATAAGGACACATTTGTGACCCTGGAGCACAAAAGCAGTCTTAAGTCGCTGGGGTATATTTGTAGCAATAGCCAACAATACATTGTATGGGTCAAAATTATTGAGTTTTCTTTTATGCCAAAAATCATTAGGATAACTGCATCAGTCACAGTCTCCAGCATTCTGGATTAAACCTCTGCAAAACACACAACTCCTGCAGTTTACACTCATATATGATATACAGACATATAGAGCATACAAGCAACTTATTTGAACGTAAAGCACAGATTTCTAGGAGTTCACCATAAAAAATGCAGAAGATTAGATTCACAACTGTGTCAATATAACACAAAGACACGTAAAGAACTTTAACATTTAAAAATGAGAAATGTTGCCTTGGCAACTAACTGAAATAAAAATAAGGTTTAGTACTAAAATTACTAAAACGGAAATAAAAAGAAATTAAAGCTAGAAATATTAAAAAATTAAAAAAACGAATAATAATTACTAAAATTAAAGATGAAATAAATGTTACATTTTGTAAGAGATCGGAATGTTTCGAACGTATGAAACGCAACAAAGTTTCTCCGCTGGAATGTGTGTGTATTTACACAGATATGATGTTACATAACACACTCACATCCAAATGTGATCAGAAACAACAGACACTGACCCAAACACACGCATAAAGCGTCAGTGAACTAGAATCTTCTGTATGTTCACTGCACGAGTGCGACATGTTTATATTGTAATGCATCATGTGACAGATTTCACACACAGCACGCGGATATATCAGCTGATAAACCTCAAAAACACAGCTCACCTTTAACTGTTAATGATCTCAGATCAGAGCCGGTGCGCTTCAGTATTAACGTGATCATAAGTTATTAGTTGAGGCATAATAACTTTCGTCGGTGGCTTGTTGTTTACAGACGGAACGAAATGATGCGTCAGTCGCGATTCGCTTGTCAGATAAAAGTCGGCGTCAATGCGTCATCGCATCAAAGATGGCCGCCATCTATGAACCCTTTCACAATAAAAGACTCAACGAAACCACTAAATACGTATTTGTGTACGTTTAATTGCTACTTTGATAGCTTATGCTGTACTGTAGCTTAATTTCATTTAACTTTATTTTATTTTGCACTAATATTTTATTTATATGTGTTGATATTTCTTTGATTTGCACTTGTTGTCATATTACTTAATTTAAATCTTATTTTAAACAATGAATACACATGTATGTTTTACACAAAATACCATTACCAATAGTTTTTTTTTGCGATTATAATAAAGCACACTAAAATTTTAATTTATATAAACAAAAACGACACCGAAGACCCCTCTTGTAGGCGACACTTCAAAATAAAAGCCTATTCGCCCTTCCGAAGTCGATGGCAGCCATGTAGGCAACCCTTCAAAATAAAAGACAAACATTAAAATAAAAAACTTTGGAGTTTAGGAAAAAAAAACAAAAAAAACAATACGATACAATATTTATACAATAAATAGTACAGTATAATGCAGTATTTAGAAAAAAGGTAGATTCTACTGTTTATTTAAATTTAGACAGAAACAAGTATTAATACACATGTTAAAAGAAAAGCACAGCACAGAAACAGAATTCAAAATGTTTTAAATGTAATGTGGTCTTGTACTATTGAAGTTAAACAAATGCCACATGCTTAAATGCAACATCACATGCATTGAACTGACACTGAACATACACCGAGGAACACTGTATATGATCAAATGAAATACTCCAACGGAATGCATGTGACAATCTATTGTAGAATGATGCATTCAATACGTAAGTGAACATTAATGACGTATTGCATCATAACATTATGACAACGGGATAAGAACGGATGCATGAGGTCTAAGAAATTATTTGAGCAATTCGATGCATAAGGTGAAAGCAGAAACAAGTGGGTTTCTTCAATCACTAGTTTACAGTGATGTGTGCTTTGGGTTGACCAGACATCATCCTAACAGCCAGATACACCGGCTGCGTGAAGCGGACTTTAAAAGTGTGCAGGTGAGTTTTATCTCCACTCACATCACTGACGCTGTAAAACGCTAAAGTGCCAGTGCTAAAGCTGAGGCGTATCTCCATTCTCTTCAGAGACGGCGTGCGTCTAAGCGGCGTGTCCTTTCCTTTCTCGTACGCCCTCAGAAGGTTATCGCAGTACATGAGGCACCAGGATCCAGCGCTGCTCTCCAGACCGCTTCCAGAACCAGATCTGGGCAGTTCGCCGTAACACACGGCCAGAACCCAAGCACAGCCTTCAGCCTGGAACTCCCAGAGATGTTCTCCTCGGACGAAGCTCTGGGAGCTCAAAGCCTGGAAGAAACTGGAAAACCTCCGAGATCTGGCCGGATACGGCTGTTTGGCTGCGCTAAAAGACACCGTTTTGAGGTCTTCGGATAAGACCAGGTTGGGATGGATGGTATCGGGGTCGAAGGTGACCTCGGATGGGTTGAGAACGACGCGTAAGGCCCGCTGAGTGGATCCGAGTCCGAGACGGAGTTGGGTATTTTGGTGCTCGATCTTCTCACAGACTTTCTTCAAACTGCTGGATAACTCCAGATCGCTTGAGGAGTCCTGCAAAGGCTCCAGGGTCAAGCTGGAGACCTGGTTCTCCACGTCTCGGACTCCATCAATAAAACACGCGTCATCCATCTCGTCCATTAACGCGTCGACCTGAAGTCCAGCAGATCTCAGCGGCTTCTGGAGGTCTGACAGCATTCGCACTCTTTTCCCAACAGCATCTTCTCTGGGTCTCAACTCGGCCTCCAGAAGCTTCAAAGCAGTCGTGCTGTAGGTCTTCACCAGCTCTGCGATCTCCTCCAATACGCTGCTCACATCTTTCCTCAGATCTGCGTGTGCTGCTTTAACCGCAGCCTCTCTGGCCTTTTCCTTACTCGCCAGATCATCTACTAGAGCCAGCTTTTCTTGAAGACTAGTTATGACGGGATTCAGTCTAGACCTCCGTTCATTGGTTTCAGTCTCCACAAGAGAGCTTTTCCCAGAATCTGTTGATTTGCACACATCAGCGTCTTCTGGAGATGGCCGGTCATTGATTAGCTTGTCTTCTGCACTGGACTGAAGTTCACCACTGATGCTGCTGGCTTTGTAGTTCTCAACTATCTGTTTCAGTTTGATGTTTCTCGGCAGGGACTCTGGGCTGAGATGTTCCTGTCCACAAACTGGGCAGCAAAGTGCTTGATCAAATCCAGAAGTGTTGTCCCTCTCTGGTGTCTCCAGACAAACCAGGCAGAAACTGTGAGCACAGGGAAGAGTGACCGGGTCGAGGAGGAGATGGAGACAGATGGGACAGGTGAGCTCTGACTCCAAACAGCCCTCAGGAGACCCGTGTGCCATCATGACTGTCTTTGGTAACTGTGCAGTACAGACAGAGAACAGTACAGTTACATAAATGCACCTCTGGCTTTAATGCAAACTGACAAAATGCCTTCCAGTTTGGAGAGAATGTGGAAAAACAGGATTCCCTAGAAGCCCATTTCTACCTCACAGGGGGAAAAACATGGAGAATTACAATTATGGCATCAAAAGTCATAATAATGAGATTAAAAAGTTGACATTTTGAGATTTATCACAAAAAGTAGCCAAAATTACGACAAAGTCAACATTATGAGATAAAGAGTCATAATTATGATATTATTAATCGAAATTGTGGCATAAACGTTAAAATTATGACATAAAATGAGAAATTCTGAGATAAAAAGTCACATTTATTAGATAAAATTTTAAATAAGTCATAATTATTATATAAAAGGTCAAAAACGTTTTTGTCATAATTGTTCTTATGTCATAATTATGAGTTTTTCCCAACAATTTTGACTTTTTTGTCATAATTGATATCATAACATTTTATCTCACAACAATGATTTACCCAAGCATAATTTTTTGGTACATCATAATTTTGAAAATGTCATAATTATGACCAAAAATTCTCAAAATTGTGAGATGCTGCTAAGTCGTAATTATGAGATAAAAAGTCGTAATTCTGACATAAAAAGTTATGACACCACAAAATTAAGAGATAATGTCATAATTATAAGATAAAAAGTTGAAATTTTGAGATAAAAAGACAGTCTTCACTAAATGTCTGATGCTAAGACATTATTATGAGACAGAAAGTCAAAATGAGATTAAAATCATAATTCCGATATAAAAAGTCATAAATATGTCAAAACGAAGAGATTCTAAGTAGGCCTAATAGTTATTAGATAAATTCTAAATTATGAAATAAACAGTTGAAATTCTGAGATAATTATTAGACAAAAACGTTTAAATTATGACCTAAGTCATAATTATGACATAAAAGGTCAAACATTTTGTCATAATTGTTTTCTAAAAATGCAGACTTTTTATATCATAATTTATGCCATAAATTTGTTTTATGTTTTTAATCTCGCAACAATGTTTTTTTTCTGTAGCGGAGATGGGAATGATCTGCATTCTGACCGAGTTTAATATACTGATAATCATCAATCTTGTTGATATGATGCGTTCAAAACAAAAGGATATTTTATTTTTATATGGAAATAAACATCATTTGTGACCCTGGAGCACAAAAGCAGTGAAAAAATTGACCCTTATGACTGGTTTTGTGATCAGGCTGTCAGAACTAAAGCGACAGGACGCCAACTAGCGGCGAGCAGCGCGTGCTGCAGCCGTGAAGCCTGTCAGTGTAAACGAGGCTCGACTTTGACACCTTCCTCTAACTGGCTGCCCAGTGAACTGCTAAGCCACACCACTCACTTTCTCGCCAAAAATCTCGCCCTGCTGTTAATCGCGTGTAGAACAACAGTAGAAATCCTTCCAGAAAGACGTGCATGGCGCTTCCAGCTGTTTATGTGCAGCCATTTTCCAACATAAAAGCCTGGATGTCTTTGGAACTCGACGCAGATGCACGACGAACTGTGCGTTTACAATCATAACTGCAACACGATATTATATTCTCATGCGAGTCAAGGCAAACGCGATCAGACCCGTTAACGCCTTCAGTGATGATCGGTGCAGAGCTTCGTTTTCCCGCCTGCATCACTCGTCTATTACTGTATTAGCGGATCGTTTATGGGTTCAGTTAACATCACAATGTTTCATAAACTGTTCGTTTAAGATTTGTGTAATGCACTTACCTGCACTTTTCCTCCTGATGACACTTAAAGTGAGATTCAGTGCTGCTAATATCGAGGCTGGACGTTCGCTACGTGTAAAACAAGAGTTATTGTTCATCTAGCAGACAGTATGTGTGTCATTAGAGTTGAAGGAGCAGCAGATCTGCATTTACAGCCACACACACCTTTATTTAAACACACTGCTGCTTCCTGATGGAGCTTCACAGCAGCAGCGGCTCTATCTATTCATTCACATACAAACCAGTGTGATGATGATGATGATGAAGATGTACGTGATCACGCACGATGAACAAACAGCCAATTGGTACTTTGGTACTCATACAATTAGTACAATTATTAATTTTATATATTATAAAATTAATACAATTGGTATTGATACTTATAGCAAACTGAAAAAAAAAAACTGCATGTGTGTGTGTGTATAAAATTTTAAAATAAAAAATAATAATAAAACGATAACAACCTCCATTAATAGCCTATTAAATGCTCCCATTTAACAAAAATCATTTTTAAAGATGGAAACTGCCAAAAAAAAGTTTAGAAAAATATATTGCTTACATAAGACAATTTTAAAATATTTTTATTAGACTGTTAAATGTATGGGCAATAATAAAAAAATATAAACATAAGCAAAATATTTGTAACATATTTTTGCCAGTTATTGTCAACTTAAAAAATACTACTTTTAATTGCTATGTGGGAACTTTGATCTTTAATGGAGGTTGTTATTGTTGTTTTATGATTTCATTAATATACTCTTTAAAAAAAAATCTACATTTTATATAACAATACATTTATAACATGTATTTTACAATATCTTTAAATGACATTTTGTTCAAAATGTCAGATGTGTACCTAACTAAAAATAACACTAATATGAGCATATATTATTAAATAGAATTATTATTTGAGCAGCATGTTTGGTTGACATCAGAACTGCCTGTACTGTACAGAGAGCAGTATACAACTAACCAGCAAGTTTTTATGAGAGCTCAGCGTATCCTTCCTTAGATAGAGTATGCAAGATTACTATCTGTCACAGATCATACTTCTTGAAGACAGCAGGATAAAATAGTCTACATGATACACTATTTTCCAATCATGCTTGCTTTGTAAGGCACTTCCTTTAGGATTTGTGACCCAGGAGCACAAAAGCAGTCTTAAGTCGCTGGGGTATATTTGTAGCAATAGCCAAAAATACATTGTATGGGTCAAAATTATAGATTTTTATTTTATGCCAAAAATCATTAGGATATTAAAGGGGTCATATGATGCAATTTCAATTTTTCCTTTCTCTTTGGAGTGTTAAAAGCTCTTGGTGCATAAAGAAGATCTGTAAAGTTGCAAAGACTAAAGTCTCAAATCCAAAGAGATTTATGAAAGTTAAGAGTGAACCACGCCTACCTAAAACAGCTCGTTCTAACACGCCCCCACATATCTACATCACTATGTGGGAAGATTTGCATAACCCGCGGCGAATAGAACGGCTTGCAATTAATGAAGAGCACTTCTAGATCTGAACAGCACATCTTCTTTAACACAGTTACATCTGTACACCACCTCTCATTGATGTAAAAGCATGTCCCGCCGCCGCGCGATTTCCCCGTTGATTCTGCGTCGCGATCTGCTCTAAACAGCTGAAAGCCCGGCAGACTCAACGCGCTGTCCGGAATGGCGTCTTTCAGCCACGTTTCCGTGAAACACAGAGCAGCAGAGTTTGAAAAATCCTTATTTGTCCGGGAGAGCAGAAGGAGCTCGTCCGTTTTGTTGGGTAGAGAGCGGAGATTCGCCAGATGGATGCTAGGCAATGGTGTTCTGAATCGCCGCTCATATGCGCTCATTTAGCAGCATCATATGACCCCTTTAAGTAAAGATCATGTTCCATGAAGATATTTTGTAAATGTCCTACCGTAAATATATCAAAACTTAATTTTTGATTAGTAATATGCATTGCTAAGAACTTCATTTGGACAACTTTAAAGGCGATTTTCTCAATATTTAGATTTTTTTGCACCCTCAGATTCCAGATTTTCAAATAGTTGTATCTCGGCCAAATATTGTTCTATCCTAACAAACCATACATCAATGGAAAGCTTATTTATTCAGCTTTCGAAAAATTGACCCGTATGACTGGTTTTGTGCTCCAGGGTCACATTTAATAAACTTTGGGAAACACCACTAACTAGATGTCTGAAAGTCCAGTCAGGTGAAATTTAAAGTGAAATTTTTATTGTTTCAATGTTCTTTTAAATACAATAAATGGAAGCCAAATATATATAGACTGTCTTTGTTTTAGCTCAATTTGAATGTTCAAAATAAATAAAATACAATTCAGCTATATAAAGTATTTGCTGATAAAACAAACTCACACTTTTACAGAAACCAGCAAGTGTAAAAAAGTATTTAAAAAGGACACAATTAATAATAGAAAACCCCCTAGAAACTGTCATAGGCCATTATTTGGCAGAGAAGTTAAAATGACCACATTCGTGAGAACCCCAGACCAGTACTATAGTCACAGTGCACAGGTTTGCATGAAGGCACTCGGTTTAATGTGTTTGTTTCTATCTGTGGGTAAGAAGAGCTTCTCTGAGCATTTCTGATGAAGAAAGAGATGCTCAGTGTAGTGTTGTGCTATCATCATTGCACATTCTCCACCCAGCATGTGTCATGTGTTTGTGCGTGTTTGCATGCGTGCTTGCCTCCAGTTTCAATGCTACAGCAGGTTTGGCTGTAAATGCACAGACACATTCAGCTCATATGAACAGTACAGGAAAATGAGAAGAAATGCTGAGGAAGAGGTATAACTGAACAGATGCCTGGTGTGGAGTAGAAGCAGTGGAAGGAGCGTATCTGTGTCTAGATCAGGTCAGCGAGGTCCAGCGGAGGCAGCGGCTCTCTCCAGAACGAGAAATGACTGAACTCGGGACAGTCGAAGGAGGAGGCAGGATCTTTACAGATGAAGGGGAAGATGTGATCCACCAGCTCACTGAGATGAGAGTAACTAAAACACACACATCAATCTCAAACAATTGCATTTCTTTTTTTTTTAAATTTGTGAATATTATTAATGAACATAGAAGTTTTTGGGTGAGCTGTTCCTTTAATATACCGTTTGATTGTGTATATACTGTATAGACACTACTGGTCAAAAGTTTGGAATAACTAAGTTTTTTAATGTTTTTGAAAGTTGTCTCTTCTGCTCACCAAAGCTGCATTTATTTGACCAAAAATTAGTGCTGGAGTAATGATGCTGAAAATTCAGCTGCGCATCACAGAAATAAATTACATTTTAACAGATATTCACATAGAAAACAGCTGTTTTAAATTGTAATAATATTTCACAATATTACCGATTCTACTGTATTTTTGATTAAATAAATGCAGCCTTGATAATCAGAGAAAAACATTTTAAAAAATCGATGAATTATTCCAAACCTTTGACAGATGCACGTGTTGTGACTTACGAGGACTTGTTTCCTTTGGTCTTTTCTTGTATGAGTTCTCCTTTGGGGTTCACAGTGAAGATGTGAGTCTCAGGTACACCCACCTCCTTATACGCATATGCATCCTACACACAGACACAGAATGCAGTCAGGCCTTCCCATAATTCCTAAGAGATGCACAATTGCACATGTTTGTAACGCTGAAGGAAAGCTCACGTTAGTTCTGTTGCCGAAGGCGGCGTAGAAGGGCTGTCTGACAGGACTGAACAGGTCTCGGATATCAGTGAGACAGGCGATCTTAAACACCTCCGGCTTCTTCTCAATCACCTCCCTGAGAAGTTGAGAACACACACACACAGACACACAGAGACACACACACACACACACAGACACACACACACACACACACACACGGACACGGACACACACGGACACAGACAGACAGACACACACACATTAACAGTAGTCTCAGCCTCGGTACAGTCAGTCATGGAGGCCACTGTGATCTGTATATGATCTGTTTGTCTTCACCGGTGTAAGGCTGAGAACAGGCTGCTGGGAGCCAGTAGCACCGGTCCTTTGGGTAAAACCGTTCCTCGATCATTTACCCACTGCAAGTAACCCTTAGTGATGTCTGCCATGCCTATAGCTCGAGCCGAACAGTACAGGAACTTATAACCATTCCTGCAAGAGAAGAACAGAATCATAAATAATTCTTAAATACACTACCATTCAAATGCTTGGCGTCAGTAAAATTTTAATGTTTTTAAAATTAAAAAAAGAAGTCTCTTCTGCTCACTGAGGCTGCATTTATTTGATCAGAAATGGAGTAAAAACAGTTAAATATTATTACAATTTAAACCAAATCTTTTCTGTGTGAATATCTGTTAAAATGTAATTTATTACTGTGATCAAAGCTGCATTTTTACAGTCTTTAGAGTAACATGATCCTTCAGAAATCATTCTAATATGCTGATTTGCTGCTCAAGAAACATTTCTGATTATTATCAATGTTGAAAACAGTTGTGCTGCCCAATATTTTTGTGGAAACTGTGACACATTTAATTTTTTAGGATTCTTGGATGAATAGAAAGTTCAAAAGAACAGCATTTATTTGAAATAGAAATCTTTTGTCACATTATAAATGTCTTTACTGTCACTTTTGATCAATTTAATGCATCCTTGATGAATAAAAGCATTAACAGGGCTGTCAATAAATCAATTAAATTAACGTATACATTTTATCACATAACATATTCAAAAACAGCTAAACAGGCCAGAACAGAACAGACCAGATGTCTTAAGATGCATTAAGTTTTAACACATTAAAAATAAAATTGCAAGATGTGATGCAACATAAGCCTGTTGTGATGCATGTTAGACTTTGTCAGCAAATATAGATATGCAATTAACGGCAATAATTGTAAATAAACAAATGACATCCCCTCATTTCTAGTGCATCTCAGGTAAAAAATATAATAAAGGTATATGACACCTATAAATGTGACCCTGGAGCACAAAACCATAAATCATAAGGCTCAATTTTTCGAAATTGGGATGTATACATCATCTGAAAGCTGAATAAACAAGCTTTCCATTGATGTATGGTTTGTTAGGATAGGACAATATTTGGCCGAGATACAACTATTTGAAAATCTGGAATCTGAGGGTGCAAAAAAATCTAAATATTGAGAAAATCGCCTTTAAAGTTGTCCAAATGAAGTTCTTAGCAATGCATATTACTAATCAAAAATTAAGTTTTAATATATTTACAGTAGGAAATTTACAAAATATCTTCATGGAACATGATCTTTACTTAATGTCCTAATGATTTTTGGCATAAAAGAAAAATCAATAATTTTGACCCATACAATGTATTTTTAACTTTTGCTACAAATATACCCCAGCGACTTAAGACTGCTTTTGCTGCTGCTTAAAACTGTTTCTGTATCTGTCAAACTAAATATAAAAAATTGCACATATTGAACAACAAGTGTTTCATTAAATCAGAAAGTTGTGAATGAAAGCGTGTGTTTCTTACTGATGTATTTTGTGATATAGTTTGGCGATGCCGTGATGAGTCCAGTCTTTCCCCAGCTGCGGCAAAATGTGCCCCAGAGCATCTGACCTGATACAGAGAGAAAGGTGAACAACTCACAGATAGTAACCTAAATCCTGCAATGATTCAGAGAGACTCACTTGGTGATGGTCCCATCGATGTCTGAGATGATGAGTTTGTCGTCGTAGCTCCACAGATAAATGGCGGCTTCACAGCGGCAGGTGCCCTGATACTGTGTGGTCACACTGAACACAACCGTATTAGCTCCTTCACGCAGATTCAGACTCTCCTGCCACACACACACACACATATAGAAAATATCAGAAATTCATTCAAGCCATTGCACATTGAACAGTAACTGTTCAGTAAGAAATGTCCAGGTAGTATTTCAATAATGCAGCCTACATTTGAGAGCATTGAGTAATGCAAAAGATTCTCACTATTGTAATACAGTAATGAAAATTCATATTAATCTTCATTAATATTATCAAGCTTCATTATCTAAATGCAAAATATTATTTCTTTCTTTTGATTTTGTGGTTAATTATTTATTTATCAATTTTTTATTTTATTTGCATTGTGACATTTTAATGACATTCACATTTAATTATATTTTCAACCTAAATTATCATTTTTGTAAACACTATGGAAGCAGTTTCCATCGTGGAATAAAAAAAAAAAAATGTTTTTCTCTCACAATTTCACAATTCTGAATTTACATTTGATAATTATGACTTTTATGTCTCACAATTCTGAGAAAAAAATCAGAAATGTGAGATAAGAACTTGCATTTGCAAGACAAAGTCTGAATTGTGAGATAAAAAATTGCAATGACCTTTTATTCCATGGTGGAAACAAGCTTTTTGTGGATGAAATTTTTTTAATTGTGACTTAAAAAAAAAAGATTAATATTAAAATATTAATAAAAATAAATTATTCTAAAAGAAGTAATATTAATAAAACAATATTATTTCATTAAATAAATAAATATTATTTCTTATTTATTTATTTTGAGGTAAAATTGAACTAGACGTGAAGAAAAAAAAAACAGTCGACAACATAGTTAAATTTTACCTCAAAATAAATAAATAAGAAATAATATTTATTTCATATTCATATTTATTTATTTATTTAGAAGGTCTTCCACTTGCTCGTGACTAAACTCTATGACACACACAGATGATGATGTTGTTGATGATATGTGATCCTGGACCACAAAACCAGTCATAAGTGTCAATTTTTCGCATAAATAAGCTTTCCATTGATGTATGGTTTGTTAGGATAGGACAATATTTGGCTGAGATACAACTATTTGAAAATCTGGAATCTGAGGGTGCAAAAAAATCTAAATATTGAGAAAATCATCTTTAAAGTTGTCCAAATTAAGTTCTTAGCAATGCATATTACTAATCACAAATTACGTTTTGATATATTTACGGTAGGAAATTTACAAAATATCTTCATGGAACCTGATTTTTACTTAATAGCCTAATGATTTTTGGCATAAATGAAAAATCAGTAATTTTGACCCATACGATCTTACGATCTGCTCAGAGGTCAGCCGGAGGGATTTGCGGTACATCTGACTGATGCACTGCGCTGTGTTCATCGCTTCACTGTTCTTCCTCATGGAGACGGAGCCATCCTCATCACTCGAGAGTTCAGCAGAACTCCTGCATACACAAAACACAAAACACAAACAGAAATTCATTGATTTACTGGGTCAAAGATAAAATAAGCAATGCACAGTCAGCCAATAGTCTTGATAATACTGACTTTCATCATGTTTAACTGAAGTCAAAGGTCAAGTGCTCTCTGATAAGGAGAGGAAGCCCATATGTACATGCTGCTTTCATAACAAGCTTACACATTTATGCAATGTTATAAAAAGTTCCTGACAGGTTGCATGAGATTTAGTGCAAAGACAACAAAATGCTTTAAGATGTGGTGCACACATGCATTCAATTTGAAGTGTTACTTTTGTTTGGTTTGCTCTTATTTGTCCTGTAGATTTGTACTTTATACTGACACCTGTTGGCGTGGATGCATGATATTTGGTTATAAACTTATGCTGCTTTTGTTTTTTCCTTTGCATCCTTTTTTGTCTCATATCATGACACATAAACAAGACATTTCCAACACATTTTTGTGCACTGTTGGTGGTTTGTGCTGGTGCAAACTAGCGTGCATGCGAGTTAGATTTGTCACCCTTCTGAATTATTTCTGTCAAACTTTATAATTAGGAAAAAACACTGAGTGCCTCATGTTTTGCATGCATGCAAACACACGTCTTACTTCAGTGAAGAGTGTCCAGCGATAGCGGAAGATGCTTCAAGCTGATTCCCCTCTGTGTCGGACTTTTGGCTTCCCTAACATGAGAAAAAAATTTATGTGCAATGCAGCATTAGAGATATACAGGCGCAGTCAGCAGATAGTGTACTTATCAGCCTCTTAAAGGGAAATTGCACAATAGAGTTGCTCCTTTCATGACTTAAACATTATTTCTGTACTGTTAGATTCAGTTTCAGATTGAGTTTTTACCGCAACATTGTTCAGATCTTTCCTCCTCCAGGAGAACCACCAGCGGCCAGACTTTTTTGGCATCTTATCTTTGACTAGTTGCTCAATGGTGCTCTACAACAGAAAAAAACAAGTCATTATCTCTGAACGATTAGTCATTGAAGCAGTAATCAAAGATCTCTGACCCCGTCTACCTTTGGTAAAGTCTTCTGGAAAGCCTGAACTGACAGAATCATTGGCGCTGCCACAGCCCAGTTATAATATCTGAAACAAAATGACCACAAAGCTAAACAAGAGCCATATCATAATATTATCATAGTGCATATGTGATAAAATGACCCTTCTAAAACTGGTAAACAGCTCTGGCTCTAAAATCTGATTGGATGAGCCACATCTGAAGCCGATATACTCACACCAGTAACTGCACCTCGGTTTCAAGTTTGTTGTCAACTAACCAACCTCCAGTTAGACTAACTATTTTACCAAGAACTACGGCTGTCAGTTTAATGCGTTAACTTAATTAGTTATGAAAAAATAACGCGATTAAAATATTTTAACGCAGTTAACGCACTGGCTCCGCCCCCAGACCTGTACATCATCTTACATTTCATACTGTCGACAAAAAAAATATCAATAAATGCAAAAAAAAAAACCCAGAGATTTTTCTCAAATTATCTTCATTTGTGTTCCATAATTTATGTTGGGCCGTTGTAGCCTAAACGTTTGTGTAATACATTTTATGTTGAATCAAATAAAATATTTCTGTCTAAAGTTACTATTTGTAATGTCTACTTAATACCTTAACACAAAAATAGCATTAAATAATCATTTGGGGGTATTTTCACAGCCAAATGTAATTTGCGATTAATTAATCGACACGTCATGTAATTAATTAGATTAAAAATGTTAATCAACTGACAGCCCTACTAAGAACTGTTTAATGTGATTACTATTGAACATTGTTGTACTACAGATTGCTGTTACCAACTGTAAAAATACAGGAAGAGCTAAAGATATCAGCTTAAATCATTTTTCTGTCCTCACTGAAAATAAAATGCTGCATAAAACAACAAAATCACAGCCAATCATAATATATTTGATGTTCAATATATGTGACCCTGGGCCACAAAACCAGTCATAAGGGTCGATTATTTGAAACTGAATAAATAAATAAACAAGCTTTCCATTGATGTATGGTTTGTTAGGATAGGACAATATTTGGCTGAGATACAACTATTTGAAAATCTGGAATCTGAGGGTGCAAAAAACTAAATATTGAGAAAATAGCCTTTAAAGTTGTCCAAATGAAGTCCTTAGCAATGCATATTACGCTGGGGCTTCTTGCTTTATTATGACTGGTTTTGTGGTCCAGGGTCACAGATGGAGTGTAGACCAATAAGATTTCACTGTGGGCGGAGCTACACAGCACAAGGAGACAAAAGCAGAAACTAATAAAAACAACAAAACTGTTGATGTCGTGACTCGTGACTGAACATGGTTGAGATTTATTGGTTAGGACACAGTGTTTACCTTTACTGATCTGACTGATGTCTCCTCTCCCACACAGAGACATGGTCACGTCTAGCGTGTCTGTGGTAGAGTCGGACAGATATTCGGTGCCGCTGTCTGCATTAGCGCTGCCCAGTGACTGAGACGACAGCTGACCCGAGGGAGGAGACGGATCCGGCGACTCTGTCTCACTGAAAACATGGAGGGAGGAATTTAAAGAGGGACAGGAATCAAACTAACGGTCAAACGTCTGGACATTCCTACTCATTCCTTATATTACGCTTTTCTATATTTAAAATAATAGTACAGTCATCAGCCACTACCACAGAACCATCACAGACATGGATCTGTCCACAGTTGATCAATACAGCATGTTTAGTGACTGGTTCTGATTTGACCCTCTAACTCTAGCACTCTCTATTCTAATTCTATTCTTTAAAAAAAAAAAAAAAAAACTTGCCCCTTTTAGACGTGCACTCTATTCATTTACTAATTACGTGTTTTCTTTATTAAAAAATAAATAAATAAATAAAAATAACACTAGCTTCTCTATTCTTTTTGTATTCTAGATATCTGTTTTCTTTTTATTTATTATATAATAAAAAAAAAAAACTTGCTACGTGTACTGCGTTAGGCTAACTGAGACTTGTCATAGCACTTGCTTATTATTGCTCTTTTGTTGATTTTGATTGCTTCAGTTGTCCTCATTTGTAAGTCGCTTTGGATAAAATAAAACGCATAAAAACATAATAGCAATAATAATAAATTATTTATTTAATAGATTGTATTGCTGTAGTCCCACAATCATTTATTTATTGCATCAAAAATCATAGATAAAACAATTAAAATAATAGTTTTATTTTATTCTTGCTATTAATAATAATAATAATAATACTCAATTAATATTATATTTTCATTGCTGTAGTGCTACAACCATTTATTTATTGTGTCAAAAAGCAAAAACAAAACAATAAAATAGACTTATTTTATGTAGATTTTATTTTTATTATTATTTTTGCTATTAATAATAATAATAATATTCTCAATTAATTTACAATCATTTATTTATTGTGTCAAAAAGCAAAAACAAAACAATAAAATAGATTTATTTTATGTAGATTTTATTTGTATTATTATTTTTGCTATTAATAATAATAATAATAATAATAATATACTCAATGAATTTACAATCATTTATTTATTGTGTCAAAAAGCAGAAAAAAATATTTTGGTTTAATTTATTTATAGCAAATCGGTTAAGCATGTTGGCTAATAAAGCTTCTAACCTCTTTGGAAAATAGAGGGCAGCAGCTTCAGGGTCAAGACTGGAGAGGTCGTCTAGATAGATATCAGATGGTCCCAAATGATGACTCCGCTTGACTAGAAAAAACAACACGCACAGTTCAGGTAAAACGTTTCAAATCATTTTCAATCACTGAATTAGTCGCACTGGAATAAGTACATACCTGTCCTCTTGTCCTGAGAGTCTGCTGTTTTCGAGGACTCAAGAAGCATCGAATCCTCTGATTTGAGGATGGACTCAAGAGCTGGTGTCACTCCAGCACCGTCTGCATTCTGATTGGTCAGTGAAGTCTCTAATCCCGCCCCCTCCTCTGAGTCTCCCACAGAGCTTTGGTGTTTTGGTAAAACAGTGATTGTGTCCGCTGAGTTGACCTCTGTTTCTGCTTCTAAAACCGTATTTGATTCAGTCTCACCGAATGTGATGGTTTGGATTTCGGATGTAACCGAGACATTATTCTCATCCCAGGTTTCTTGGCTTCCTACATGAGCCACGGCGTCTGAACTAGCTGCACTGCTGACAGCACCGGTCCCATGCATTGTGTTAGTAGAGCTGGTTATGTTATAGGTCTGAGTGTGATTGTCTGTGCTGCTAAATGTGCTGACGGTTAAGTCTTTGGTCTCTTTGTTTTCCAGTGCAGTCCAGGCCTGTGGGAAGGAGTCGTCTGCGGACTGAAAGGTCACTACATGCGTTTCGGTGACCTTGATGTCCAGTTGTGTGTTAATCGAAGACGAAACAACTGCGTGAGTGTCATCTAATGGAATAGGGCCAGTCGTTCCAATCTGAGGTTCAGGTCTCACTACGGTCACCGTCGCTGTAGAGTCAGTGCTGTCCACATCAATGGATGCTTGTCGATGGATCGTGCGGAAGTGGGAGTGGTCAGAGGGCATGCAGAGTCAGTGCTGTCCACATCAATAGATGCTTGTCGATGGATCGTGCGGAAGTGGGAGTGGTCAGAGGGCGTGATGTGCGGGTCTCGCAGCGAATCAGATTCATCCCTCTCCGCCTGACACACCTACACAAACACAAGAACCACTGAGTCAACTGCTTTGTGCCCTTATAAGGCAGCATCCTAATGAAATTAAACCTCATACACTACTGTTCAAAAGATTTTTTTTTAATGATTTTGAAAGAATTCTCTTCTGCTCACCAAACCTGCATTTATTTCACCAAGTAAAACAGTAATATTGTGAAATATTATTACACTTTAAAATACGTTTTCTATTGCAATATTTTGTAAAATTTAATTTATTCACGTGATGCAAAGCTGAATTTTCAGCATCATTACTCCAGTCTTCAGTGTCACATGATCCTTCAGAAATCATTCTAATTTGCTGCTCAAGAAACATTTCTGATTATTAGCAATGTTGAAAACTGATACGATGTGAAACATTATATTGTGATACATTTTTAGCTATATCACCCAGCCCTACTTGAAGGTGGACTTTTTCACGTCAGACAGTGAGTTTTGCACATGCAATCATGACTCAAACATTCTTCAGAAAATGTAGTAATCTACTTTTATAACAGCCTTGTTCAGAGTGGACATATGATGTCTAAAAATACTGCCTAGGTAGGCAGCACACTTGGTTTGGGAACATTCTGGACTCCATCTGCGATGAAAGCTGTATGCATGCAGTATGCATTTACCTTGGGAAAAGCGCCCCAGTTCCATTGCATCTGAGGCCCTAGAGACTCCTGCGGCTTACACAGCTCTGAATCACTCTTAGGAGAGGAGGGACGACTGAAGAACACACTACCGACAGAGACAACACAAGTAAGCAGAGCTTTGCCTTTAGATATCCATGATATGAACAGAGAGATAACATATGGGCCAACTACATCATTCATAGATGTTTAAGGATCTATAACTACCTCTCATTAACAGAACACTCTCCCTCAGAGTGAGGATGAACGTCTCTGCTCTGAGCTCCAGACGGTTCCTCGTAGGGTTCCTCTGTCAGCGAGTAGTACACAGACTTACTGAAGAGAGCAAAAACACAAATCATCAGTGACCTGGGCCAGGTTTCACCAGTCGTTCATAAGTTCACCCAAAAATGACAATTTTATCATCATTTACTCATCCTCACGTTCCAAAACCTGTCTTTTGTTGAACACAAAGGAAGATATTTTGAAGAATGTGGGTAAACACACAGTTGACGGTAGCCATTAACCATAGTATTTTTTTCCATACTATTGAAGTCAATGGCTACCATCATCTGCTTGGCTACCCACATTCTTCAAAATATCTTCCTTTGTGTTCAGCAAATGACAGAAACTCATACAGGTTTGGAACAACATGAGGGTGAGTAAATTATGACAGAATTGTCGTTTTTTTTTTTGTGAACTATCCCTTTAAAGTGGAACGTACGTCCACACTAGAGGTGTAGTAACTTCTAGGTAGTTTGTAACCAACTCTGTACACTGTAAAAACAATTTTTAAATAAATCTGTGAAATTTATTTTTCAAAAAAGCATGCAGCCATGGTTACCAGAACTGTACTGTACAAATATGGTAGCAACATTTTTAGTTTCACTGATTAAATTTAAATTTGCAGTAAAAGAAAATGCATATTATTTCAATGAAAAACCATCAAATGCAAACGTCACAGAGATTTCTGGAAATGTGTTTTTCACTGTAAATTATAAGATGACCACTAAATTTACCAGTATTTTACTGTAAAATTACATGTCACAACATTTTTTTTTACAGTGTATAATTTGGTTGCACCATCTGTTCACGCAGAACGTAGCTAGTAGGTTGCACACTCTATGAAAAGTAATGCTTAGTCACATAATATGACATTTATCATCAGTGATTCAATAGCAGCTTTCAAATAAATTAGTAGAAGTTGTTTTGAAATGTAGCGAATTTAAGTTTTTCCTTGATTCTAACTTATTTTGCCTCATGCAACTAATGGCAAAAATATGTTTCCCCTGATATACAGTACATTATAGGTATTTTTATATGTGAATAACATTCAAAAACTGTATTTGAAATTATTAAGGATCAATAAAATACTGATACCAAACAATTATTAGAAATGACATTTATTTATTAAGTTTGATTTTATATGACATGCACACAGAGACGTGGTGCTTAGGTTGGTTTTGTGTTGAAGTGTTGCTAACGAAGTAATTTATGCACATAATATTCTCTTGCTTAAAAATGTAAACAAGTGTAAAGGATTGTCTAAAGGATTGAAGTTTGTCGGTCTGCTATTTTAATCCAACCGTTACTCCTAGTCGGAGGCATGCAGGGTTATGTTTCAACTAGGTTTAATGGTGCAATGCAAAAATAATTACTGGTAGTAGTGTATAATTTATAACTTATGCACCGCTGGTGCAACCAGCCCTCTTGAGCTAGAGCTTCATGAAATAAGCAGCCAACAATCTTACACTGATCAGACAATCTCAGAAATTTCTGGAAAAGTAAATGTACAATAACTTCAGTAAGCCTCTAACCTTGCGGCCAAAAGCGACTCTTCCTTTAGGACATCTTGATCTAGGCTTTCTTTCTCGTCTGCGGAGGAACTGGCCTCCTCTCGCAGATGCGTGTCTGAACGCGCTCGCTTCCTGCGGCGTTTTTTGCGGCGGCTGGAGGAGGACGTGATGCTGGAGGGAGACTCGGTCATCTCGGACACTTCTGGGACGTCCGTGGGGATCGGAGAGGTGCAGAGGTGAGCGGGAACCCGCGTCTGACACGGACACAGAGAGAGTATCGTCAAAACCACAGCAGAACATTACAGGAGAGATTGGAGAACTCACAGTCATCCAGACAGACCTCAAAATCCTCGTTCTCCTCCACGAAGAACGCCTCTCCGTTATCTCCCAGCTTCATATGCAGGCTCACAGGCTCTCCATTGATCTCAATATCCACCTGCGGAGGGACGGACACAGCGGTTACATGAGCTGAACGAGGAGCAGCATGTCTTAGGCTTGCTGGTTTAGAAATATGAATTCTTAAAAACCAAACAATTAATGAGGGAAATAAGATTTTCTTCACTCATTGGAAAGAAAAATGATGTGCTATGTAGAAATACTCAAGCCTCATTTATTATCCATTAGCTCGTTAACATATGAATGCCATCATTTACATATCAATATTGATAATATTGATTGACATATCAATGCATATTCTGTACACAGAAGTCTGTTACATAAAGAAGGCTTAAAGGTACAGATGCAAAAAAAAAAAAAGTTTCATTCTAATGGTATGAAAGAGTAGAATGCTGCATTAAATGTGCATTAAATTTGTTGTAAAATAAAATGTTAAATTGTTCAATTATGATTAAATGAAATTCCAAGCCTTTAAAAAAATTAATAAGAGTTACACTGTTAAATTAAGTTTAATTTTATTAAATCTAACTAAGCTAAATGACATGCAATTGCTGTTGAATGACATTATAACTGCCATTAAATTAATATGAAATAAAAAAATAATTTTTATTAATTGAATAGCAGTCAAGTTTTCATTTAACAGCAATGGAATTTTATTTAACTTAAATGTTAATGCTATGTAGAAATACTGATTGACATATCAATGCATATTCTGTACACAGAAGTCTGTTACATAAAGAAGGCTTAAAGGTACAGATGCAAAAAAAAAAAAAGTTTCATTCTAATGGTATGAAAGAGTAGAATGCTGCATTAAATGTGCATTAAATTTGTTGTAAAATAAAATGTTAAATTGTTCAATTATGATTAAATGAAATTCCAAGCCTTTAAAAAAATTAATAAGAGTTACACTGTTAAATTAAGTTTAATTTTATTAAATCTAACTAAGCTAAATGACATGCAATTGCTGTTGAATGACATTATAACTGCCATTAAATTAATATGAAATAAAAAAATAATTTTTATTAATTGAATAGCAGTCAAGTTTTCATTTAACAGCAATGGAATTTTATTTAACTTAAATGTTAATGCTATGTAGAAATACTCAAGCCTCATTCATTATCCATGATCTCGTTAACATATGAATGCCATCATGTACATATCAACGCATATTCTGTACACAGAAGTCTGTTACATAAAGAAGGCTTAAAGGTACAGATGCAAAAAGAAAAAAAAGTGTAATTCTAATGGTCAGAGAGAGAGAGTAGAATGTTGCATTAAATGTGCATTAAATTTGTTGTAAAATAAAATGCTAAATTAAATTATGTTCAATTATGATTAAATTAAATTACATTTTATTTCAATTTCAATTATGATTAAATGAAATTCCAAGCCTTTAAAAAATTAATGACTTACACTGTTAAATTAAATTAAGTTTAATTTAATTAAATCTAACTAAGCTAAATGACATGCAATTGCTGTTGAATGACATTATAACTGCCATTAAATTAATATGAAATAAAAAAAATATATTTATTCATTGAATAGCAGTCAAGTTTTCATTTAACAGCAATGGAATTGTATTTAACTTAAATTTACTTTAAATTTAATTTACCATTTTACATCTTATTACTTTTTATTTTACAGCAAATGTATTGGCAGCCCTATTTTTATTTAACAGCAGTGGAATTTTAACTTAACAGAACTTAATTTAATTCGACAGCAAATTTAATGCAATGCATAATTTCATTTAGCAATATTATTTTACAAGTTAAGTGAAATGTAATTGCTGTTGAATGAAAATGTGACTACCATTATATTTGCTGTAAAATGAAAATAAATTAACTAAAGTTAAGTTTAATCACGTTAAAATTCCACAGCTGTTAAATGAAAATGTGACTGCCATTGCTGTAAAAACTTTAATTAAATTAAAGTTAAATTGATTAACATTGCTGTTAAATAAAAAAAAACATGACAGTCATCACTGTCTAACAAAATGTTTTTATTTTTATTTTTAATTGTGTTATTTTCATTCTGACAAAATGTGCTAGCTGTGTTTTTGACACATTTATGAAAACGCTTGCACGTCCTGATAACTATTTCCTGCTAACAAGATGTTCTACCAGCAGTCTGGTGTTTAAGTTTGGTTAGTTCTGAGAAAGAGGAACATTCAGTCAGACAAGCACGACAGCTTTAACTAACCCATTGCTCAATCTGAGCAGGACAGAACATGTTCAGATCATAAACACAGCTGTCACATAACAACTAACTTGCACTATTAACTAGTGACTGATGGTAGGTAACTTCAGCTTAACACATTTCCACCTCACCACTTTCTCTTTGGAGCGCAGGACTCCGAGTTTCCCGAAGCGCACGTGAAACGGCGAGCACTGGTAGCTGCCATCAGGCTGGCGAACCACAATGACGTCGATGCCGCCGGTGAGCGTGGCCGGATTCAGACCGCGATACAGTTCCTTCACGGTCACAAACACCGTCTCTGCCAGCTGACCAACGTAGTTCATGGTCTGGGACTGAAGAACAAGAGACAAAGAATACGAATGTGCAATTTAGATAATATTTTTCCTGATGCCCCCTCACTGTCTTCAGAGATGTTCCCGAGTCTTAAAGTACAACTGTGACCTTTGCACACGGAGCAAAAGTCAGACATCTCAACTTTATCATCATGACATGTTGGCAGATTTGAAGTCATGCCAAAAACTACATTGCCAACATTTGTAAAACTGGATCTGACACGATATAAAACAGACAAATGCATGTTACGCAATTTTGTCAGGTGTGTTAACAGACTAGAATAACTGTGTTTGTTCCTCATCTCTTTGGTGTAGGACTGTATTAGTGGAGCAAGTTATTTTTCTTTAGATTAACCTGCACTGATGAATCATTCACAATAAGATCAGTCCAGGAATTAAAGAGAAGGTTAATAGTGTGAAATATGATTTAATGTATTGTTGACATTAAAAAACACCTTAACGAGTTGAAACCTCTCCTTTTTCATTCAAGTTCACAGTCTAACATCACGGTTAGTCTGAGGACGACATAGCTGGTTAAATATATATGCATATATATCAACTTAAAGAGATTTCTGGCATTAAAAGGTCTAAATTATAGCTTTATAAAAAGTGTAACTCTAGCCTTATAATGTGTCAACCAAAGCATAGTAAAATACTTTTTATTTGCTAAATAACCGTATAAACAAAAAACAGAAAACAGTATCGCCATGACACATCTGTGACCCGACCTGACCTTTTCGATTCGATTAATTCAGTCATTAAATTCAAATTCAAACAGAATTCACACTTATGAAAATATTTTGGATGACAATCAAGTGAACAAACATAAACACAAACTCAGTTCAGCCTTTGGTTCTGGATTTGATGCCCATTTAGAGACCAGGGTGTCTGATGGATTATGAAATACAATTTCATCATAAGACAAATATTAAACTACTGAAGTTACTTCACCACCTTGTGCCACAAACACATTTTAACCCTGTAAAGCCTGACATATCAAATAAAAGTCAGACAAAAATCTAAATTAAAAGGAAGAAGTTTGCATACGTGTTTTTGTTGATTATCGTATTTTGATAAATCAGGCTGATATAGTGAATCTGATATAGTGAAAATATGGAAGAAAAACACCTTTTTATTCAGAGGCCCAAACTGTGCAAAAATATGCAATTTGGTGCAAATGCTGATATTTATATGATGAAATTCTGATGCTTGTAATGTAAATCAATGAAATCAACAGTATCACAGATACTTACATAAAATGACAGAAATATCAATTGTCACTCAATATCACCAATAATATGTCCCAGTAAGACGATATCTGAATGCTTAGTTTGATGATCAAAACATATAACGCGATGCAATACAATGACTGAGGGATAAACGTTCCTGATGATCATATTTGATATTTATGATTTTTCTAAAAAAATCATCAAGCAACCCATAGTTTCTTGAGTCCAGTACGTGTTCGTCTCGAAATACTACTAAAAGTTATTCTTACGTTTACTTGATAAAAATTTGACGGCAAAAAGACACATGAAGCACAAGCTGAAGAAGGACTTTTTTGTACAATTAAAAGACATGTTCCTTTCTAAAAAGTCTAAACTATCAATTAGACGCCAGAAGGCATAGAGTAGATTGTGAGTGACATGTTTAGCAGCGAAGTTTTGATCATGTTGATGATGATTTAGAGGACTTTGTGTATCAAATATGACACTTTACAGGGTTAAAAAGTGCTCAAACAGAGGAAATTCTCCTGCTTTGATGACCCACGATGAGCACCTAACCAGAGTGACACATGATGATGATGATGATGATGAAGTCCTTTAAAACAGAGTTAACCGCTAACTGACATGTTTAGCAGCAAAGTTTTGATCATGTTGATGATGATTTAGAGGACTTTGTGTATCAAATATGACACTTTACAGGGTTAAAATCATTTCTCAAACAGAGGAAATTCTCCTGCTTTGATGACCCACGATGAGCACCTAACCAGAGTGACACATGATGATGATGATGATGATGAAGTCCTTTAAAACAGAGTTAACCGCTAACTATCTGGACTAACTAAACTATCCACATCCAGAGCCTATTTTACTTACATTCAATCCCTTATTCTGTGTCTCTCTGTGATGGTTGAGTGCGAAACGAACAAAGAAGGTGATAACTGGTGATTTTGAGAGAGACCCAGTACATTCAACTGTTCTCTCTCTCTCTCTCTCACACACACACACACACACACACACACACACACACAAGAGCAAACCAGCAGCACAGCATCATATTTGACCTCATCATTTACAAACCCTGGGGAATTTGTGCTCATGTTTTCGTCCCTAAGAATGAAAACATGAGAGGAAAAGCCCTGTTTAACCCCATTTTAAATGTTTAACAAGGGGAAGCTCTGCTGATTCTATAAAAATCAACTGAACAGTAAAAACAACTTAACAAATCCAATAAAAAGACCAATAATGCAAATTTGTTGTTTTGTCCGACTACGTGTCCATTGTCAAGCATCAAAGCCATACCCATTACAAACAGTATTAACAATTTGCCTACAAAACCCTCGTTTATAGGGTTTGTTTAAACATAAATCGATTTCTTCATGGTATGTTTCTATATTATAAACACTAACGTTAACGCTTAATGTAACAATCCAGAGATTCAAACGAGTCAGAATGTCGTTACACTCTTCACAACGCAGCTCTTTACAAACAGTCGTTTCAGCTGAAAAAAAAACTGATAAACAAACACATTTAACCATAAAAAGGTGAAATTATGAAGTTAATGCGACTGCTCTTACCTCAAACACAACAGCGATTCATTAAAAACTTCCTGAGCGCTCACGCCACGTCAGCACGTCAATCATATGACAACCAATGACAAACTGGGACTCGCTTCAGGACACGCCCTCTTTCCGTGCGCCTCTGTTGACGTGTGCGTTTGTGTTCCTCGAATTTCAGTTAAGCACCGCTAGAGGGAGACTGTGTAGTGTTTATTTATTGGTTTCTCTTTTTTTTTGCATTTATTTGTTTGTTATTTAATAATTAATAATAATATTTCTCAAATAAATAAAAGCCAGCACGTACTAAATAATCAATCTTTAAATAAATAACCCATATACATATACAGGTGCATCTAAAAAAAAAAAAAAAAGAATATCG